CCTTTCAAAATAGCGTACGTCGGTGTAGTTTCGGGTGTAGCCGAATTACATCCAGGAGTAGTTAATATAGATAATATCGGTATCGATGTAAATCGTTAGCAATCAAGTCATTTTTATCGATTGATAACACAAAACGGTGAAAAACTATGGAAGGAAAATCTTTTAGCCTGAATTTCAGACATCCCTTCGAGACGAAGGGATGTCTGAAATGCGAGAACTGAATGTATTTAACCTGAGCTGTTTTTGTTCAAAATGAAGGGTTTTAGAGAAAATTTGCGTGGAGAGGATGGCTGTGAGGGGAGGGTTAAGTCCATCACCAGGTCCAATGAATCAAATACACTATTATATTGACACAGTCTGGACATTTCAAACATACCTCCCTAGATTCTATTAATAAATTGATTATTCAGTTGAAAAATGAGTCCCTTAGTCGTTTCCTCTAATAGTGTTAAATTCAAATCGGCATTCGTACATGCGTAAAGAACAGTGAATATTTCAAGAAAACATCCATTCAGAACCTCCTTATTTAAACAGATTTATAACAATTTTAAAGGCATAAGATTTATTTAAAAATTCAGGACAGCTAAGCCGGCAAAAATTTCATCACTGACTCGCGCGTAAATTCAAAGTATGCAAGATTGCAGAAATAAATCTGAAATCTGAAAATAGGATTTCCTATAGTCTCAAGTTAGCACAATACCGTGAAATTCAGAAAAGAAGACCCTCAATTTATGAACCGAACGGATTTTTCATGGCATTGTATGGTAATGCATGGGTATACATGACAATACATGGTAATACATGTCCATACATGATAATACATGGTAGTACATAGGCATACATGGCAATACATGGTAACAGATGGCTATACATGGCAGTAAATGGCTGTACATGGCAATACTTAGAAAGTCAAGACAATACATGGTAATACATGGCTATATACATAGCAATACATGCCAATACATGGCTATACATGGTAATACATGGCGATACATGACAATACATACTAATACATGGCAATACATGGCATTGAATGGCTATGCATGGCGATACATGATTATACATGGTAATACATGGCAATACATAGTAATACATAGTAATACATGGCAATACATGGCTGTACATAGTAATACATGGCAATACATGGTAATACATGGCAATACATGGCTATACGTAGTAATACACGGTAATACATGCTAATACACAGTAAAACATGGCAATACATGGCTATACATGGTAGTACATGGTAATACATGGCTATACATGGCAATACGTGGCTATACATGGTAATACATGGCGATACATGGTAATACATAGTAATAAATGGGAGTACATGGCAATACATGGCTATACATGGCAGTACCTAGTAATACATGGCTATACATGGCAATACGTGGCTATACATGGTAATACATGGTGATACATGGTAATACATGGCAATACAAGGCTATACATGGTAATACATGGCAATAAATGGTAATATATGGTAATCCATGGCAATTCATGGCTATACATGGTAATACATGGCGATACATGGTAATAAATAGTAATACATGGCAATACATCGCAATACATGACTATACATGGCAGAACATGGTAATACATGGCGATACATGGCAGCACATGGTAATACATAGCGATACATTGCAGCACATAGCAATACATGGTAATACATGGCAATACGTGGTAATACATAGTAATAAATGGTAATACATGGCTATACATGGCTATACATGGCAATACATGGTAATAAATGGCGATACATGCTAATACATAGTAATACATGGCTATACATGGTAATACATGGCTATACATGGTAATACATGGCAATACATGGCAATACATGGCTATACATGGCAATACATGGTAATACATGGTAATACGTGGCTATATCTGGCTATACATGGTAATACATGGCTATGCAAGGTAATACATGGCAATACACGGTAAAACATGGCTATACATGGCAATACATAGTAACACATGGCTATACATGGCTATACATGGTAATATATGGCATTACATGGGTTTACATGGCTATACATGGCTATACATGGTAATACATAGTAATACATAGTAATACATGGCTGTACATGGTATTACATGGGTATACATGGCTATACATGGCTATACATAGTAATACATGGCGATACATGGTAATACATGGCTCTACATGGTAATACATGGCTATACATGGTAATATATGGTAATACATGGCGCTATATGGCAATACATACCTATACATGGTAATACATGGCGATACATGGTAATACATAGTAATACATGGGAATACATGGCTATATACGGCTATACATGGTAATACATGGCTATACATGGTGATACATGGCAATACATGGTAATACATGGCTATACATGGCAATACATAGTACTACATGGCTATACATGGCAATACATGATAATACATGGTAATACGTGGCTATACATAGTAATACATGGCAATACATGGTAATAACTGGCTATACATGGCAATATATAGTAACACATGGCTATACATGGGTATACATGGTAATATATGGCATTACATGGGTATACATGGCTATACATGGTAATACATGGCGATAAATGGTAATACATAGTAATACATGGCTATACATGGCTATACATGGCCTTACATGGGTAATACATAGTAATACATAGTAATACATGGCTGTACATGGTATTACATGGGTATACATGGCTATACATGGCTATACATGGCATTACATGGGTATACATGGCTATAAATTGCTTTACATGGTAATACATAGTAATACATAGTAATACATGGCTGTACATGGTATTACATGGGTATACATGGCTATACATGGCTATACATAGTAATACATGGCGATACATGGTAATACATGGTTCTACATGGTAATACATGGCTATAAATGGTAATATATGGTAATACATGGCGCTATATGGCAATACATAGCTATACATGGTAATACATGGCGATACATGGTAATACATAGTAATACATGGGAATACATGGCTATATATGCCTATACATGGTAATACATGGCTATACATGGTGATACATGGCAATACATGGTAATACATGGCTATACATGGCAATACATAGTAATACATGGCTATACATGGCAATACATGGTAATACATGGTAATACGTGGCTATACATGGTAATACATGGCAATACATGGTAATAACTGGCTATACATGGCAATATATAGTAACACATGGCTATACATGGCTATACATGGGTATACATGGTAATATATGGCATTACATGGGTATACATGGCTATACGTGGTAATACATGGCAATACATGGCATTACATGGGTATACATGGCTATACATGGTAATACATGGCGATACATGGTAATACATAGTAATACATGGCTGTACATGGCAGTACATGGTAATACATGGTAATACATGGCTATATACATGGCTATACATGGTAATAGATGGCGATACATGGTAATACATAGTAATACATGGCTATACATAGCTATACATGGCTTTACATGGTATTACATGGCTATACATGGCTATACATGGCAATACATGGCTATACATTCGTGTAAATGGCTGTACATGGGTATACATGGTAATACATGGTTATACATGGGTATTCATGGGAATACATGGCCATACATGGTAATACATAGTAATACATGGTAATACATGGCTGTACATGGCTATACATGGTAATACATGGCAATACATGGCATTACATGGGTATACATGGCTATACATGGCTGTACGTGGTTATACATGGCGATACATGGTAATACATAGTAATACGTGGGTATACATGGCAATACATGGTAATACATGGTAATACATGGTAATACATGGCTATACATGGCTATTCCTGGTAATAGATGGCGATACATGGTAATACGTAGTAATACATGGCTATACATGGCTATACATGGCTTTACATGGTATTACATGGCTATACATGGCTATACATGGCAATACATTTCTATACATGGGTGTACATGGCTATACATGGGTATACATGGTAATACATGGCTATACATGGGTATTCATGGGAATACATGGCGATACATGGGTATTCATGGGAATACATGGCGATACATGGTAATACATGGTAATACATGGCTGTAATGGCTATACATGTTAATACATGGCTATACATGGTAATGCATGGCTATACATGACATTACATGGCTATACATGGCATTACATAGCTATTTTTATTTATTTCTTGATACACTTTAATAACCCTACTTAAAGTACCTGGACAGACAGAGGGATCTCTCGGGGGTAGGGTGCGGAACCGATGCGGAGATCACTGATTCCTTTGGGGAGTTACCTTTACTTACATAAATTTGTGTTTATATTAGCATCATTTTTTTTTTTTTCGGCGCCTCACCTTCTGTGCACCCCTGGTTTCGGCATCTCATTGTAATTTTTGTAGGCCCAAGACGCAAGAGTTTATGTTCAGACCACCAGAAGAGGTCAGAGGTGCGAAATGGCTAGAAAATTTCAGGCTACCCCCACCCAGATCGTCTTTTTTCGCTCGTCAATGAAGCAACGCAAAAGTGAAGTAAACTTTAGCCACCCTAACGGCGAGCAGCTAGGACAGATGGCTTCATTCGCAGGCTAAATAAACTTAGAGCCCAAACTTTTATAAAAACAGGTGACTATTAGCTATTTTCAGAATCATTATATCGGGATTATATCACGCACGCAGGTATAATTTGGAACGATTACTACCTAGTGATTAGAATACGAACAGTTCATTTTCTATTCTTGATCAGTAATCCGTAACACAAAAGCTGTTTATTTTTATATTATATGTGATAGCTTGCATTCGCCATCACAAGGGTCATCAGATTTTTGCCAAGTTATTAAAAAATTAACCTATAGTACTAATAAAGGATTTTACACAAAGAAAACTTTTGTTGTGAAATATAAACAAAATTGGAAACATTTAATAAAGGTGCATCCTAATAAATGGAAAAAACGGGCAAAAAAGGAAATGAAGACTTCACTTGACCTTGGGGTCAAGAACTTGCCCATCAACTTGACTGAAAGCACGTTCCATTGCAATGACGTGTAAAAATATACACACACTGAAGTAAACAGTGTTACAGCAAAACCTTCAGTTGTTATGAAACAACCATCAACTTCGCGTGAAAGAATCAGTGGATAGCTCACAAAAAGCAACCACATCAACAAAGTCATCCCGAAAAAAAAGAAAACTACATCGATCAGAATTGCCCTTTAAGGTTTGAAATGGAAGTCCTAGACTCGATCAAACAAGTGTTACGCACGCAGGAAATGGAGGTCGCAGAATCCACAAATCCGCAGGATGGAATGGAAGTCTTGCATACGGTTGAAATGGACCTGACGGATGCAAATGATGTGGCAGACGGAAAGGTTATGAAGGAAAAAGTCACGTTCTTGGAAATGAAAACATTCAAGAGGAACGTCAGTTCGTTAGAGGGCTTGGAAGAGAGCACTGAGCTGGACCCATTAAAGATCATCTGCGTCGGTGGGGTTCGAGCAAAGGGCGTCTTTATTAAAGACTACATGGGAATTAAACCTACAGCTAGAATCCACCCTTTCAACTCCATTGATTTTTACTTAAAAAGAGTGAACTGGTTGCGGCGTGGAGACTATAGAAGTCACTTCTCTATAGTTCTTCAGCTATGCGAGATTTCGGATATGGAGCGATTTTCTGCCATGACGAAGGTCTTCTTTCAACATAGCCAGGGTGCACTGGTGTTTTGGGGACCTCGCAATCCGTCATCGCTTGCCGGAGCCGTGCAGTGGAAAGCCAAGATTGCACAAGAAGTTCATTCTCCGATTCCTTGCGTTTTAGTGACGGAGAATATTAAGGATTCACAGTTAAAATCAGTGGAGTGGATCGCGCCAGGGAAAATATTCGAAAACGAGTTAGCTCTAGATAGGTTCTGTCGAAGACACGGTTTTGTGGATCATTTTGAAATCAAATTCCGTGACTAGGAATCTGGAGAAAAGAGCGTTTTCGGACAAGCTGTGACCTGTGCTCTTGACGAGATTTTGCAGAACGAACATAAACAAGACAAAACTTGGATTTCACTCAAAAATAACCTGTATAGAGTGAGCTTTGCTACTACCTAAAGCCGAGCGATTTTTTGGATTGAGGATCTTATCAACTTTCACTTTTTTCCAAGGGAAAATTTGTTACGAAATTTTTCCTTTGTTGTCTTTTTTGCTAATCCTATTATTGTATAAATTTGCTTTGTAATAAAAGCACTACCTAAAAATGTTAAGTAATTACTTTAAATATCCATTCACAGTTAGCTTAGTTTTTGGTGGTCTTCGACGCTTCCCATTCGGCGCGGAGAGGGTGACAAGCTTGCACACTATTCTCGTTACATTTCATAATATCTTGTACTGTAATTAAATTTCCTAGAGTGTAATATTAACCATGTACATTGACAAAAGCATATTGAGAATAAAGATTATTGATTATTATTAAAAAGTCACTGTACGAGCCACGTACTTACTAGCCTCCTGAATAGACCATTTCCGAGTTCCAAAAACCCTCACTTTCAATACGAGGCTAAGTGCAAATAATAATTTTCATCTGTATGAGAATAAAAAACCATTTCGCACTTAGCAGAGGCTTCGGGCATCTCGGAACAGGGGCACCCATCGAGAATATAGTTCAATACCACTTAAACATACAACCCTGGTCAAAAATTCTTGAGACACTTGAGGAAATTAGGCACAAAGACGCACTTTGCTAAATTAACTCATATTCTACCTCTTAAAAAAGCCTGGGGATGTTGTTATAAGGGGCTATTTCTGCTGTCCCCCTCTCCCCCAAGCAGTGTTGATTGTGTTGGATTAAAACTTGAACGCATAACGTCAACATTGCACCAAGGGGGAGGGGGGGAGGGAAGATGCCTCAATTTGACGAGCTATTGCGTTAGTGTCCCAAGAGTTTTGACCAGGGTTGTAGCATTGTTAAAGTAACGTATTTAAGTATTTAAACGGCAGATATATGCATATTTTTTCCCCTAAAAATTTTTCATCTGTTCGGATTTCCTAGCTGAAAGTCTGATGATCCGAAAATTATGGGGATCAAAACTTACCTTTTCGAAAATTTTAGCCAGGAAAAAGGCTCCCGAAAATTCTAGGTGACCTTTTTAGGGTAAAAATACGTTGAAAATGGGCAATTATACCATATTTTAGGTGTTGGAAATTCCTAGGAGAGGCAGGCAAGCAGGAAATTTTACAGCAAATGTTCCGAAAATTCTAGACCTCAAATCGTCTTCCGAAGAGATATTTTCCGAAAATTGACGTTGGGTGTCCCTGTCGGAACTGAATGGCCCATCGGCACTATCGGCACGAGAGCAATTAATAGACATGCGTAAAAGAGAAGTGACAGGACAGCTTGTCCGTTCTCTGTTTTTCGAATTTCCCATAATACACTCTGTTTGTCCCCTAAACCTTGTATAAATGTATTGTTTTCAAAAGCTCCTGGGAGGACTGCAAATTCCCAAGAGCATTTGAATAAAAATAACTTATTCAAAAGTGGGTGTGGGGGGAAGAGTGTATTATGGTAGCCTCCCCCACAGATGTTATTTGGGGTTCGTCACGCGTTCCTGCCCCACTAATAGGAATGCGTGACGAACCCCTAACAACGTCTGCGGGGAAGGCTAGTATTATGGGGGATAAAATAGTCAACATGGTCGAGCGGGCTACAGTCAATCCCTGTCGTAAGAATGTCGCTACTAGTAACGTTCTTCAAGCCGGGTCACCTCCAGTATTATGATATTCCCGGAAGAGGACACTAATAAACTGTATGGACACCTCTTTATACTGATGGACAGTCCTACTGGTCTTAAAAATTCCACTAATCAAACTTCTACTGACGGCCATCGATCGCCCACCTCTCCATAATGGCCACGCTATTTTTGCAGAGCCTGATATGCATCATTCTCATCTTTTAACCTCGGCCACATACTGTTGTCCCCATGGTGGCCGTCGTGGAAAGATTTGGCAGTAGATGCAAATTTTACTATTACAATTTCAACACGGGCTGTTTAAAGAGGACACTTGTACCTTCCCTCTGCGACGTATTCACCCTTTAACTTCTAATAATCCCCCCCCCC